TGCGCGCGCTCCCCAGGCCCCAGGCCGGCCGAGCGACGGGCAGGAGGCTCGTCGCCCCACCGCGTGCCCGTCCTTTTTGCGCCCGCCTCTGCTCGCTTTGCGCTCGCCCGGCCGGCGCTGCAGCAGCGCCCCGCCGCCCGGCTGCCTGCCGACTGACCCGCAGACTGAAGGACTCGGGGAAGAGCAGAGCCTGGAGGGGCCAGAGGAGCCGCGGGTCCCCCCCTGCTGGTGCAGGATACCAGGTCGCACCATCCCACTCAGAGGGCTGCCAGTTTCACCCTGAACGTCTCCAGTGTGGGGGAGCCCCCCACCTCTCCGGGCAGCTGGTCCCACTGCCCTGTTGCTCCGACCGTGAGGAAGCTCCTCCTGGTGTCCAGCCTGAATCTGGGCTGCTGCAACCTGAACTGATTATTCTGTGTCCTGCGCTCCGGCATCAGCAAGGAGAGATCTCGGCCTTCCTCTCTGTGACAGCCTTTGAGGTCCTTCTAGAGGGACGCCGTGTCCCCCCTCAGTCTTCTCTTCTCAGGGCTGGACATGCCCAGTTCCCTCAGTCCCTCCTCACAGGGCAGCGTTTCCAAACCCCGGATCACTTTTGTCAGCGCTGAGCAAAGGGAAACTGGCACTTTATGGGATTTAGAAGCGGCAATTCTATTAAGGCCGCTCCAAATAGCACTTGCCGTTTTTGCAGCTGCATCACCCTGTTGACTCATCTTCAGCTTGGGATCTACAACAATGCCAAGGTCCTTCTCGCTTGCCATATGGCTGAGCTACGTATTCCATCGTGTAACAATGCATTTGGTTTTAGACGCAGAACTTGGCATTTCTCCCTATTATGTGCAATTTCATTCTGTCGCTCACAGCCTGGTGCTCCAGCCTACCAAGATCACCTTGAATCTTCTGTCCGCCTTTATTTATTTATTTATTTATTTTTCGATTTATACCCTGCCTTTTTCCTACCAAGGGCTCAAGGCAGCTGACATCATTCTCCTCCTCCATCTTGTCCCCACAACAACAACCCTGTGAGGTTGGCTGGGCTGAGAGTCTGTGACTGGCCCAGAGTCACCCGGTTGGCTCCATGGCTGAGCGGGGACTCGAACCCGGATCGCCTGAGTCCCAGTCCCATGCTCTCAACCACCACACCCCACCAGCTCTCTTCCAGCATATTAGCCGTCCCACCCAGCCTGTGGCATCTGCAGCTCTGAACCGCATTCCCTGTGCCTCCTCCCTCAAGTCATTAATACAGATGATGGGGGGCCCTGCGGCACCCTCCCCGGTCCGAGCAGGGGCCGTGGGTGAGCACGGGCCGAGTCCGCTTCTGCAGCCAACTGCGGATCCAGCGGGCCGTCCTTCCACCCAGCCCGCTTTTAGCTCTCGCTGCCCCGAGGCAGAACAGCTTGCCCTGTGGCGTAATCCGCCGCAGGCCAGTAAAACTCCCCAAGGTCAAGCTGGGCCTCAGATGCCGCCTTCCTCCTTGTGCGGTGATTCCGAAGGTCCCTCCGGGCTATTTTTGGTCCAGTGATAGGATCAGGCGGAATAAGCCGTGTGCGCCTGCCTGCCGTGCCCCCGTCCGTGTTGCTCCAGGTTGCGGAGAGGCCGCTCCTTCTGCGGGTAAGTCTGGCCTCCCTACTCTTTTCGGGGGCGTCCCTGGGGGAGTGGACTTCCTCCTCAGCCCCCCTTCCTCCTGGCGCCTGTTCCGCAGCAGAATTGGTCCGGGGTCCTGCCACGGGGCCCGGTCAGGCAGGGGGCGCGTGCTGCATGAGGCTGCCAAGTGCCCCGGTTTCTGCCCAGCCCCACGACGCCCTGCTGCCTCGAGAGGAGCCAAGCCGAGCGGCCCCGGCTGCACAGAGAGGGGCATGAGTGTTCCGTCGGAAGCATCGTTTCCCCTCTGTGCAGCGGGAAAGGCCCACATGCAACCAGGAGAGCCTCCCCATGCAGGCCCAGGACCCGAAAGACGAGTCTTGGGGGGCACACGCGGGCCCCAGGAAGTTAAAATGGGGCCCTGAAGACGGAGGGCTGGAGGGCTGCTCAGCACAGCAGGGAGGGGCCTTGCAGTGGGAGCCGTCCCGTCCCGCGGGCGTCCTCAGCTGGCATGTCCGGAAGCCTTTCGCTGCTGCGAGCGCTCGCATAGCCAGAGCGGCGCCTTCCTGCGCTGGGCCTGGCTGCCTTCTGGGCCACAGTCCACTAGCCAGGCTGACCACCTGCCCCGGGTTCGAAGGCGCCGGTTTGTTGTCTGTTTTTCAGCCGATGCAAAGGAAAGTGGGACATGCGGAAACCGGCAGCAGCTTGAGGGGGGCCCTGGAAGAGCGGGGGGGGGGGCGATTCGGTGGGAGCCTGGCGTCTCGGCCTCACCTTCATCGGCAGCCCACGTGCCGGGGGAATCGCCGCCAGCCCCGGAACCTGCTGCCACAGAAGCCTCCCGGGCCTGCGTCCCCAGGGGCCCCCCTCCACGAAACCACCCTCCGTGGCAGGCCGTCCTGCAGGCGCCGAGGAACCCCAGAGTGTTCTGAGCGAGCCGCACCCAAGAGGTCATGAGCAGGGCCCCCGGATCGGGATTGGGCCAGTCTTATTTCATGCGGGGCGCGGTGACAGAGAGGAGCGCAGCGGGAGGGGCGCGGGGCGCCGGCCGCTCACCGGACCACCCTCTGGGGGCGTCTTCTGGATGGTCCCGGGCTCAGCTGCCTCCCCGACCACTCCACGGATCCTCCTGGCAGCCGGCTGCTGCCAGGGCGAGCCCCCTTGACGTCTGCGGCCAGTGCTGAGCGGACTCCCCCGGGATGGCTCGCTCGGGGCCGCGCTCGCTGCTTCTGGGACCCGGCCGAGCGGCGGCGTGGGGCGCCCTCCTCCTGGCACTGCTAGGCTGCCGCTCCCTGCAGAGGCCCCTGGCGGCCCCGGGGGACGAAGCCCGCCCAGGGAGCCCCGGCCTGATCCAGTGCGGGGAGTACAGCAACCAGGTGCTGCCCGACGGGCGCTGCAGGATCACGGCCACGCTGCCACAGCTGGACGAGCAGCGCTGCCCGGACATGTTCCGCTGCACGGACGAGGTCTCCTACTGGCTGCACGAGAACGAGGAGCGGAAGCAGCAGATCCTGGAGCTGCGGGAGCTCATCTCTGAGCTGCAGGAGGAGCTGCGCAACCACCGGCACCGCATCAAGGTTCTGGAGCTGCAGGTGAGGCTGGGCCGGGGCGGGGGGCTGCGCCCGGAAAAGGCTCGGCGGCCACAGGCGCACGCTGCCCTCGGGGTGGCGCCCCAGGCCCCCGGAATCTGCCCCACCGCCCTGCTGCCCCAGGCCCCGTGTGACCCAGGCCCAGGGACCACCCCCGCCCAGCTGGCCTTTGGCTCCTGCAAAAGGCTTCACCACCCGCCTTCCCTGCTTGGCTCCTTCTGCCAAGTCTTCCTCAGGGGAGCCAGAGCCCTCCCGTCCCAGGACCAAACCACCCTTTTGCAAAGGGGACTCCTTTAGGGCCAAGATCCCTCAAAAAGCCCTGAACAGAGAGAGAGGGAATCCAAAGCAAATGCCAGGCCGGGAGGGGGGTGTCCTGTGAGCGCCCCCCCGGGTCGGTTGCGCTCCTGGCACCGCCCCAAGGCCAGTGCTGGGGCCGGTGCCTGCTGCAGGGCTGGGACAGTGGGGCCGGTGGAGAGCAGGCGACCGCAGTGGGGAGCTGGGGCCCAGCCGTGGCACGTCACGCTGCAACATCGTGTTGCAGGCCGTACTGGCCATGCTCCGTGCCCCAGCCTTCCTCCGAGCGGCTCTGGGTGCGAGGCCCCTCTCCCCAGAGCGGGCTCAGAGCGGCTCTGCAGCCGGATCAGCAGCGCCTCGGCAGCTCCGTGGCTGAGCCGGGCTGGGAGCCCGGTTTCTCCGGTGCTCCTAGTCCCCCAGTCCTGCATCAGCCTCGAATGTACCTCCCATCATGCCGTGCTGGCTGGGAATGATGGGAGTTGCAATCCAGTACATGGTGAAGGCTGCTTTAACCGCTACACTGCTCTGCCTCTCAGCTCCAGGCTCTGCAGAATCCAGATGTTGGCATCACTGCCCTAAATAAGCAATACTTTGGGAAGAGCGCTCTTTCGGTTCCCTGACCCATCACTTTCCTTTTAACTAAAGGGTGGGTTAATACATTACATATCAATATATGTTCATACTCTCAAGTGGGCAAGATCTCAAGATACTGGGACCCAGTGTGATGCAGCGGGGAGAGCGCAAGACTAGGGACCTGGAAGAGCCGGGTTCAAGTCTCCGCTCAGCCCTGACACTCCCTGGGTGACCCTGGGCCAGTTGCCGACCCTCTGCCCTACCTACCTCGCAGGGCTGTTCTGAGAATAGGGAGGAAAGGGAGGGTTATATGAGCTGCCTCGAGTTCCTCGAAGGAAAAAGGGCAGGATGCAAATATAAAAAGTAAATAAAATAATAGATGAAAAAATCGGTGCCAGTTTGCCATTCTGGAGCCACTAAAAAACACCCAGATGCTAAACCTGTGCAAGTGGATTGGACATGTTGGATTGGAAAATCAACAGGTTGGCTTTCAACCTGTCCAGGACAGGGTTGCCCCCACCCCAAAAGGACAGGGCTTGTCCTTTGGGGTGCTCCTCCCCCCAGAATTGTCCCTGGACTCTCAGGTGGACTCGGTGGCACGGAGCCTCTCCTGTCAGCTCAGGTGGGTTTCTCAGCTCCGTCCCTCTCTGGATGGGCAGAGCCCGGGCACTATTATCCACGTCCGGATAACCTCCTGCCTGGACTACTGCAACACCCTCTAGGTGGGGCTGCCCTTGGAAGCGGTCCTGGGACTTCAGCTGATTCAAAATGGGGCCACGCAGCTGTTGGTGGGCTCTGGTCCCCGAGATGACATCACGCCAGTCCTCCTTCAGCTGCACTGGCTGCCAGTTGAGCTCCGGGCCCAATTCAGGGTGCTTGTTCTAACAGGTAGAGCCCTAAATGCTTTGGGGCTGCGTTATCTGAAGGAGCGCCTTATCCCGTATGTTCTTACCCGACCCTTAAGACCACCTGACGAGGTCCTTCTCAGGAACCTCCTTCCGCAAAGAAGTAAGGGGGTGACAACCAGGAGAAGAGCCCTCTCGGTAGTGGCTCCCCGTCTCTGGAACATGCTCCCCAGAGAGGCCTGCCTGGCACCATGCTTGCCACCTGGGTTAGAGTCGGTGCAGCGTAGGGCCACAAGGTTGGTGGCCGGTTTGCAGGGGATGCCATTTGAGGAGAGATGGAGGGAACTGGGTCTCTTCAGCCTGGAGAAGAGGAAACTCAGAGGGGGTCTGTTGGCGACATACAGGCATGTGAGGGGGAGTCACAGGGAGGTGGGTAGGGACCTGTTCTCCCCTGCAGAGGAAGGCAGGACACGCTTCAACGGAGCAAAGCTCAGGGAGCCAAGGTTCAGTTTGGATGCCAGGAAGCACTTCTTGACAGTCAGGACCCCCAGGGTGTGGAATGGGCTCCCATGGGAGGCCTTTGAGGCCCCATCGGTGCGGGTGTTCAAGGACAGGCTGGACGTGCACATGGTGGGCATGTCGTGAGCAGAGCCGGGTCAGACTAGATCGCCCGGGAGGCCCCTTCTGACTCGCTCTGTTTCTGTGTTTTCAATGGCAGCTGAAAACCCTTTTATTTTCCAGTTATTTTAATAGGGACATCTTCTTATGCTCATTTCAAATATTGTTTTATGACTTGCTGCTGTGCCGAGGGGTTAAATTACTATCTCTGCTGCGGTTGTTGCCCTGTCTTATTGTTTATTTAATATGAGTACTTTGTGACTTGTATATCTGACTTTGACATTTGTAACCCACCCCTTGAGCCTGTGGGCTGTGGGGCAGTATAGAAATGTAATAGATCGGTAGACAGACAGACAGACAGATGTCCCTGGGTCAGAGCCTCACCTGCTGAAGTTATCTCTGGAGGATGCAGGGTGCAATCCTAAACATTCTCAAACAGGAAAAAGTCCCACGGAATCCCCAGAAGGCTGGGAATGATGGGATCGTGGTCTGCCCATTGGATTGTGCCCTTCCGCAGTGAGCCATGCAGGTGCAGCTCATTCCTGGAGGAGAGGACCTCCTTCCCACACACTGTTTAATGCTCTGGGGATTGGAGAGGGGGAACGAAGAGAGGCACTCGCCTCCCCCACCAATCCAGAATGAGATCGGGGTTGCTTTAGGTTTGAGGATGTCTCGAGCAGCTGCCCCCATGGAGGAAACGTTCTTTCCCTGTAATTAAGGCTCCCTGTTATCAATCCCGGCCAAAGGACTGTGCTCAGAATTGAATTACGGAGACTTCCTGGCTGTGCAAAGCCGCAGCCGGCGTGCGTCATCCTCACGGAGCTGGACGCGTCAAAGCCCCAGCAAGTCCGGTGTGAGCAAGGAGGATGCATCTGGCCATGGGCTGCTGCGGGGAGCATCTCTGGCAGACCCCCCCCCCGCAACACATGAAGGGCGCCGTGGTGCTGCTTTTGCCCAGGAAAGCCAGCTGGGGCAGAGGCAGGTGCGTCCGGCGTGCCTGCAAGGACCGCAGGGTGGAGGCAGGCGGACCTCCTGGCACGACACAAATCTCTTGCGTGTAATCCATTAACGGGCGGTTCTCCTGCACAAGCCCCACGGGGAGGATGGTCCCAAGTGAGGCATCCTGCTTGTTAGAGCGCAGAAAGCATCCCTGCCGGATCGTGCCCCGTCTTTGTGAGCGTTCCCCTTTGGGGCATGTACCAAAGAGGCAACCCCTCTGTTGTGGGTTTTCCCTTTATTTCTTTGCCGCTAGGCACCCCCCTGTCCGAACGCCGTTCTTGGCACAAGAGCCGAGGATCGCAGCCCCTGCCCGGCGGGGTCTGCCCTCGCCTCGAGCAGGAGCTGCGGGGGCCAGACGGCCTAAAACCAGGCGCTGACTTCCCTGCAGCCGTTCCTGCAGGCGCCGGGCCCTCTCGGCCCGTAAACTTCCTTCCTGCCGGTCTCCCAGCGGTGCAGGTGGCCACGCCGCGAGGGTGTCCTGGGGCGCGTGCGTGTTTGCCACGGACAGCTTCCCCGCACGGCAGGCACGCAGGGCCGATCGCACGGGTGCAGGCGGGCAGGTGTCCCCGGGGGACTGAGGAAGCATGGCTGGGAGCCCCCCGCCTCTCGCTGTCCGCTGCCCTGCCCAGCCCCCCCCTCTTCCTCCCGTGCAGCACGAGGAGAAGGCCAGCCGCAACGCGACGGTGGAGCAGCGGGTGCAGGACCTGGAGCAGCACTACCATGAGGCCAGCGCCCTGCAGCACGTGCAGGCCACGCTCCTGTACGACATGCGCGCCCGGATGCACAACATCTCGCTGCTGGTGGAGTGGGTGCGCCACAACCCGGGCTGCCTGATCCCGGCCGAGATGCGGCTGCAGCGGGAGATGCACTACCCAGGTGGCCCCCCCCGCCTCAGCCCCCCCCCGCAGTGACGTGGGTGGCACGAGCCGGCGCCTCCTCCCAGATGAGACGGGCACGTCAGCAGTGCTTGGAAGGGTCTTTCTGCCATGCAGAGACAGCCTATTCACAACCCTCGAAACATGCACCCCGGGGGAATGCAGACCCCTCGCTCTGCCCCCCCCAAAAGCTCTGCTTATGACCCCTTCTGAGCTGGTCTCTGGAGGGGGGGTGCTATGGACGTGGATGCACTAACGCCCTTCCCTTTGAGCCCCTCATTGGTCCAGCCGGGGGGGAGGGGGTTGATGGGCCCTCGCGCCCACGTCTCCTATGGTGGGAGTTCTCCCCCCCCCGAGAACCCCTCCACCGCCATCAGGAGTGGGAGTGGGAGGGGGCTCAGGGGCTTCCTTGAAGCGCCTTGATCCGAGAGCGAGGCCTCTGAGCCGCGCTGGGTCAGCCCTCCACTCCCCCTCCTCCGAGTCCGAGTCCGAGCTGCCATTCCCACCAGAGCTCTCGTCTCTCATGCCGCCTGGGAATCTCATCCGAGCGTGCGCACACGACAGCGGGAAGGCGCTGCAGCCTCTCTTGCGCACGTCAAGCTTTCAGTGTCGTCCCACTGGCAGATGTGGCCCCCTCCTCCGCACCCCTGCGGAGCGAATCCGGAGAGCCACCGAGCACCTGCCCTTCCCCTCGCCAGCTCTCCAAGTTGTGAGGCAGAGCGTGTGGGGACAAGCGGCTTCGAAAAGGCAGCGGTGCTGGGAAGCCTCTTCTGCGCCTGATGTGGGCCCAAACGATGGTTTGCACGTATCTGAAATCCTGAAAAGCAGACGTGCTCGCCCCGGGCCCCCCTCACCCTGGGGGGGTGGGGCCGGGCTTTCTTGGTCCCTGTCTTCCTGGCCACTCGCCAGCCCTCCCACCGAGCGAGCCGGCCCTCCTAATCCGCCAGCCTGCCTCCCACCACACCCCCTTCCGCCAAGGGCTTTGTGCTGTGACAGCGGCCGGGTCAACGGCCCCCTTTGCGCGCTCTGCTCCGGGGATGCGGATCAGCGGCAAAGGCTTCACCCACTAGCCCGAATCCAGGCTGAGTCCCTGACGCAGGGCGAGGGACGGGCACGGCCCTGGCCCACAACCCTTTAAGCTGGCCCGGGCTCCGTGCCGGCCCGCTGCGGCTCTGGCTCGCCCTGGATGACGGCCGAGGCAGCCAGGCTCCCCGGGGCCCCAGAAGCGGGCCGTGCAGGGCGCCTGGGGCCGAGCCAGGCCAGGGGGCGCGGGGCAGGTTGGGCGGAGCGCCCCCTGCCCGTGCGCGTGGCCTGCGCCGCCCGGGGCTGATCCATGGCTTGCCCGCAGACGCCAAGCACGCTAAGGAGTGCCCCATCGACTGCGCCTCCCTCTACTACAACGGGGCCCGGCGGTCCGGCATCTACAGCATCATGCTGTCGGCGGAGGGGCTGCCCATCGAGGTGCTCTGCGAGATGGCCGTGGAAGGTACCTCCGGGGGGCCACGGGGCTCAGCCGCTGGTCTGCCAGTCCCCGCTGCGTCTCCCGCGGAGAGGCCTCCTGCCGAGAGCGGCTCCAAAATGTGGCTCCCCCCACTGGGAATGATGGGGGTTGTGGCCCAGCACTCTGGGGCCACCAGGCTGCGGAAGGGGGGCCGGGCTCCGTTCCCCCAGTCCCCATACGAAGCTTCCCCCTTCCGCTTCCCCCTTCCGGCGAGGCTGCTTGCGGGTACCCACTGGCTCCAAAGCAGCCAGCCGGGCTCCTGGGCTGAGCACAAGGGGCGGCACGAGGTGACGAGGGGGCTGGTCGTCCCCTGGGCCCCCGGGAGCCACATTCCGTGCCTCCTGAGAGAGCAGGCTGGTCCGTCCCGCTCTGGGAAGGGGGAAACACCCTTTCTAATGGCCCGTCAGGATCAGTCCCTCCTCGTCCTGCCTTCTAGCTCGCTCAGCTTCCCTCCGTGCCACGGAGGCAGAGAAGCGGACTCCCGCACCATCTCGGGCCCTTGGCTGGGCATGTTTCCGGCCCAGAGGATTTTGGGGCGGGGGGATCCACATAGGCTGTAACTGCAGCCCCTGGCCTTTGGCAGGCGGAGGCTGGACTGTCATCCAACAGCGGCTGGACGGCACAGTCGACTTCAACCGGACGTGGGCGGAGTACAAAGAAGGCTTTGGGGACTTGAACGGGGAATTCTGGATGGGCAACGAGAACATCCACAAAATCACCAGCCAGGGCGACTATTCGCTTCGCATCGACCTGGAAGACTGGAACAACAAGCACAAGCATGCTTTCTATCAGCTCTTCAGGTGGGTGCGGAGCCTTGAGGCCGTGGGCTCTTGGAGGTCATCTAGTCCAGCCCCTGCTCCATGCGGGCTTGGCTTCCGTTTAGAACTTCCCTCTGGGGCAGCTTTCCCATCACCGAAGCAGCTTTCAGCAGAGCGAACTAAAGCTCCTGCTGTGAGTTGCTGGCTGTGAGTTCAGATCCTGGCCTGTGTGCTTCAGGGCACTCCATCGCTGTCCAATTAACACAGAAGCGAGGAGCAGGAGGTTCCCTGGCAGCAGCCAGCATCCTCCACCGGCTTCCCTTTGCCTGAAGTCCGCTCTCCCGCATCAGCATGAATTCTTCGAGCCCATTGCCCAAGCCCCCTTCCAGGCCTCCCTTTCCCAGCTGAGAGAACATTGAGCAAGGCACATGTCTCCCCCCAGAGGAGGTTTGGGGACCTGGAAATTTTGCAGTTGTTGTGTTATCCATTTAGGGAGCTTTTGGCAGTATCTTTTAAAAAAAGACATTTGAATGTGGTTTACAGTATAAACTATACACATGATTCATAGCTAAAACATTTAGACAATACGAGAGGTCTCGGTTCAAAAGATTTAAAATCCAAGCAGTTGGGGCTGGTCCCTTCGCTTCCAGTTGTAGGGCAGAGGAGTTTTTGGAGCAGGGACACCAAAGATCACGGCTTGCCCAACCCCGCCCCCCCCCCACCCCCCGCAGCTCATGCAGCTGCCTCTCCAAGGGCCGGGGGGGGGGGAGCAGGAGTGGGGAGGCCCTCCCTCCTTGCCAATCCCCATGACAGCATTCATGCCCCCCTCCCCGCAGCACCTCGCTGGCATAATTTGCATGCAAGGTTCTTCATTAAGTGGCTCACCCGCCTGGGGGAGGGGCCCTGGAGGTGCCCTGAAATGAGGGATTGGAGCATTAAAAAGCAAGAGGCAGGGTGGCGCTGGCAGGCAGGGCAGGCCAGGGTGAAATGCGTGCCCACGAGGCCTCCCCTTGCAGCTTTCTTAAGCGGGTGCATCGGACGTGCTGCCGCTGGCACTTCCACCAAGTGGGTGCCACCCCCGAGACGGCCGTGCCCCGTGAAGGGTTGCCAGACGATGGCGACTTCCAGAGGAGGCCCACCCGCACAAGCTCGGCAGTGGATGCCGCTTCCAGGAAGACCCTCTGCCCGGCCGCTTGGCCCGGTTCCTGCTCAGATCTTCCTCTGCCGGCGCCAGCATCTGGCCCCGTGGCTGTAGTGGCCCCGGAGGTGCCACACGTACGAAGCAGCCCTGCCCCGGCCAGATTAGAAGTTCGGCCACGAGAAGCTGGGAGCAGGGGCGTTCTGCCCGTCCGTCCCCCGACGCACATCAGCCGGGAAGTGGTGCCGGCTCGGAGGGGCGCGCTCCGGAGCCCCGTCCTCAGAGGCTCCCCGCATCTCCTGCCTGCCTGCCTTGCAGCATCGAGGACGAGGTGAATTATTACCGCCTGCACGTGGAAGGCTTCAGCGGGACGGTGGAGGACTCCTTCGCCTGGTACCACAACAGGAGGAGCTTCAGCACGCCCGACTCGGGGAACGTCTGCGCGAGCATCTCCCACGGGGGCTGGTGGTACCACCAGTGCTTCTTCTCCAACCTCAACGGCGTGTATTACACAGTAAGTCCGGCTGCGGCTTGGCCGCCCTGCCCCGCTGGCCCTGCCCCACTGCAGCCCGCTCACTCCACTGCCCCCGCATGGCCCGGCAAGGCCCCGGAGCCAGGCCTGCCCCCGGCTGAACCCGGGGCCCCGCTCTGCCGCTCGCCAGGAGTGCCCCGCTCTGCTTCCTCCAGTCCTGGGCAAAGGGCAACCCCGGCAGGCTGACGGCGGCACCCCGGGGGGGGCCGGTTGGCGGACGGTGCTGCCCCGCATGGGCAGAGCACAGGGGCGGGTGGCTCCCTGTGGGGCGACTGGGCCAGTTGAGGGGGGGGCTGCCAAAGGCACCTGGCTCTGGGACTCCTGGTGAGCAGAAGAAAGAGGTGGTAGAACGCTGGGCGATGGCGGAGGCGGTTGTTGGGAGTGTGTGTGTGTGTGAGAGAGAGAGAGAGAATGAGAGAGAGAGAGAGAGAGCATGGAGCAGGTTGCAGGCCCGGTCCCCTGCGGCATCCCAGGCAGGGCTGGAAAACCCGTGCCTGGAAGCTGCTGCCAGCCCATGTTGGCAGTCTTGGCAAGATGGGCCCAGGCTCCTCTCAGGTTCCCAAGCGGGCTCTGGTGGCACCGCAGGGTCCTGGGCCGGCTGGACGTTTGGTGAAGTCAGTGGCACGGTCCACTTGGACCATCTGGCCAAAGTCCCGGTGGCCCTTTCGGCCCATTCCGAGCATCCGGTCCTGGCTTCCCACAGATCCCAGGGATCAGGCCGGGCCAGAGCTTTTCTCCCTGTTGTGCAGCTCTGCAGCACTCTCCTGGCAGAACGGTCCAAGCTGCTCCCAAAGCGATACAGCCTGTTCCACTCTTTCGGGGCTCTGCGCCTCTTTTTGCTGCTGGCAGGGGCCGATCAAAGAGGTGGCCAGAGGCAGCCCTGCGCCCCTCGGGACCACCCCGCAAGCACTGGCCGGCCACCCTTTTGCCCCGAGGGCAGCGGCTCACGGGCCACCTTTCCCTACACATCTGCAGCAATTCCTCACATTCCCCAGTGGTGTGGGATAATGGTTAGAGCCGGGAGAGGCAAGCCAGCATACTCCAAGAGGAGGACCGGCTTCTCAGCCTGACCTCTTGCTTCCTGTACCTGCTCACCCCCACAGGGTGGCCGGTACTCCCTGAAAAACCGCAAGTCCCTGGGGCCCGATGGCATCGTGTGGTACTCCTGGAAGGACACGGATTACTATTCCCTCAAGAAGGTCACCATGATGATCCGGCCCCGCACTTTCCGGCCCCACCTCTCCCCGTGAAGGCATCTCTTTCTCGACTCCTCGCAGCCGGGTCGTGAGCCCCGAGGTCGGAGGTGCGACACCCAGCCGGGCCTCTGCCACCAGCCCCCCGCTTGGAGGACGGCTGGGCAGGGCGCTCCAGAGCTCCCACAGGGGCCGAGTGGCACCGCCGCCGCGGCTTCGGGCCAAGGTGGGCAGCCTGCGGCCCTGGGGAACCACGGCACCATTGTCTGGCGCCGTCCTGTCTCCTCGCTGGCATCCAGGAAGGTGCTGGACGGACAAGCGTCTGCAGCTGGATACCGGGGCGGTCGGCTCGGCGGGGTGCAGCGCTGCCCCCTGCGGGAGGAAGGCCGGCCTGGCCTGTCCCTCTTCGGCTTGACCGGCGGATGCGTCGATTCCACTGCTGGGGGAGCCCTGAGGGACGCACGGTGCCACCTGCGGGCAGGCAGGGGAACTGCATGGTGCAGGGACGAGCAGGGCTGGGGAGAAGCCCGGAAAGGTGCCGGCCTCCTTTGCACCCAATCCGTTGGTTCGGGGGCCTCTTTCTGCATCTTCTCCGAGGCTCGTTCGTGTAGCCATGGTGCAGCGCCCCCCAGGAGCTGGTTCACAGCATGGCTGCAGAAGCCGAGCAGAGCTGTGCTGGGTCAGACCAGAGGCCTGAGCACGGTCGGTCGGAGCAGATGGGACGAGCCGCGTGTGACAGGCCGCAGTGGAGCAGAGCGTTCGGGGGGCTGCCGCAGGACCCCTGTGGCGCCCCCACCCCTCCCTGGCTGGGGGCCGGGGCCTCAAAGAGCCGGGACGCGGGATTCCGGGCGCGCCGCAACCTGCCGCCGGCACACCGGGGCCTTCTCTTTTGGCTGCTGTTGGCGGCAGCTTGGACCGATTTGGGGAGCTGCTGCACGTCCCCGGGGCCCGAACTGTGTGCGAGAACCAGGAGCCCCATCCACCGCACGGCGACGGCCGATGGCCCCGTGGCCCAAGTGGCAGGGGACCACCCAGCATGTCCCAGCGAGCCCTTCCAGCCCTCTCTGCCGGGAGGAACGAGCCCCTTCAGCCGTGGGGCAACGCCAGGAGGACAGTGGGTCGCTCAGAGCCCCTTTTCGCTGCCATGGGGTGGGGAAGCCCCACAAAGAGGCCGTTGGGGGGGACTCCCGCGGATGCCCACAGACCTTTCCCCTGCCCAGAGAAATGCTTGTCGTCTTGTGAAGAGGCTGCGTGGAGGGAGTGGCACAATGGGATTCGCAAACTCCCAGCATCGCGACCTCACCGGGCGCCCTGAGCGGCACAGCAGAAGCTGCATCAGGACGGCTGAACCGCAGGCCAGGGGCCTCCTGGGGGGGCTCCAGTGGCCACGCCCCCTTCCCTGGCCCCACCCCCTTTCCTCTGACCGCTGAGGGGTCGTCGGCGGCGTTTGTGCCACGGAGGGCCTCTCTTGAGTCGCTGGCACAAAGAACTCCGATCCAAACCATGCTAGCAGGTTTGGCCCCTCCCTTTGCCTGTGGCCCCGCCCACTCTTGGGACACAGCTCCTGAGAGTCTCCCCAAGTGGACCTTGGCCTGAACACCCACCCCCAACGATGCCACCCCTGTTCCTTCTCTGTAGCCCAGATTGTACCTGTTTGCTGCAGCCGGGGGGGCCACCGAAGCTCCGACTTCCCCCACTGTGCGACCACGAGGGTTCAGTGAACATATCAGGACACCAAGCCTTGGCCAGGAGTAATGCAGAAACATAGAAACTGAGCGAGTCAGAAGGGGTCTCCCGGGCCATCTAGTCTGACCCTGGCTCCAGCTGGCTCCGCTCACGACATGCCCACCATGTGCACGTCCAGCCTATCCTTGAACACCCACACCGAGGGGGACTCAGCGACCTCTCGTGGAAGCCCATTCCACACCCTCGGGGTCCTAACTGTCAGGAAGTGCTTCCTGGCATCCAGATTGAACCTTGGCTCCCTGAGCTTTGCTCCGCTGGAGCGCGTCCTGCCTTCCTCTGCAGGGGGAACAGGTCTCTACCCACCTCCGTGTGACATCCCCTCACACACCTGTATGTGGCCAACAGATCCCCTCTGAGTCTCCTCTCCTCCAGGCTGAAGAGACCCAGTTCCCTCAGTCTCGCCTCATACGGCATCCCCTGCAAACCGGCCACCAACCTTGTGGCCCTGCGCTGCACTGACTCCAACCTGGCTGTATCCTTCCTGTAATGAGGGGCCCAAAACTGAGCACAATACTCCAGTTGTGGGCGCACCAGAGTCGTGTAGAGTGGTAGTAATACCGCTCTCAATCTAGAAGCCACACTTCTGGCTATGCAGCCAAGGGTGGCGTTCGCCCTCTTGGCCACCGCATCGCACGGCTGGCTCACGTTCAGCCTGCAGCCGACCAGCCCCCCGAGAGTAGCTTGACGGGGCACTGCATCTCCAGGCTGGACCAGGCCATCTTACAGGCCAAATCGCTAGGAGTGGACAGAGATGGAGAGGACAAAACGAACGCAGAACAGGGACAAAACGATTGGCACCGCTTGGCTTTGAAGCTCTTCGTGCCATGTGGCATCAGGCCCTGGAAGGAATGAACCCCACTCCCCCCCGCCCCCCCCGGACATACGGTCGGGGGAGAAGGACGAAGTGAGGAGACTCTTAACCTGCTGTTCTTGCTTCCAGTTGTCCGGCAGGATTGAGACGGGGTCGAAGGCCTGACCGTCTCCGGCCTGTCATATATCCCCTGCACAACCTCCAGGTGGCGCTGTGGTATAGCGCGCGATCGGAACACGATCCTTGCACTTTTGTTTCAAGACCCGAACAAAAGGAACCGTTTACACCCCTCCCTTGCGGGAATTTGCGCATTTCTTTGGCAGCTCAAGTAAAGAATGTCTACCAGATCACTTCACCTCATGAGTAGGCCTAGCGCGCGGCTGGGCTGGGAGGGCTGGTGCCTCCCTGGGGTGGGAAGGGCCCTGGGGTGGGAGCCGGGGCTGCAGCCACTGCTCCTGGGGCGCCGCGGTGGCAGGGAGCTGCCTGTGGACGTGGCGGGCGGGCGGGAGGTGTGGGGAACGCGTCGACTTGTCCTGGCCACGACGGGAAGAGAGCTACTGAGAAACGGCCACGGGCCACCGATCCTGCCCCGGCGTCCGTGCCAGCATCCAATGCCAGGGTCTGGGCTGCTCGGGTGGGCTGACCCAGAATGCCCACGGCCACTGCAGGTGTGGGGTCGCCCCGGCCCTGCCGGGACTCCCAACCTCCTCGTGGCACTGCCTGGGAGCACTGCAGAAAAGCCCTGCAAGCACAGGCTTCCCCCCGCAGCTGCGCTGGCCTCCGCATGCGGGTCCTCTCCTTGCTGGACGGGTCCTCCTACATATCCTATGCCCCAGGGACCGTCTCCTGGTTGTCCTCTTGGCTCCTGACACTGGCCCGTTCCCGGCAGTGCCGTTGCTGTTGCCCTGATGGGCACCTCTGGCCCCTGCCCCAGGCCCAGCTGGGCACTCCAGCTTGGGCTTTGCTCTGGTCCCAGAGCCTCTCCTGGCCCCTGGGCCCGACAGGGAGCCCGAAGCAGGGGGCAGGTGGAGACCAGAAGCCCGGGGAAGCCGGTGGCCCAGCAAATGCCCGGCAAGGAAGCCCCCGGCTTATAAATGCCGCAGCGTGCGGGGTCGCGCGAAGCCAGTCACGCCTTCTGTCAGCAAACGGGCTCTTCGTCGGAGCGACCGAGCCGAGAGGGGGCGCAGTGCGCGCAGCCACATCTGCTGTGCACCGGGGGGGGGGCTTCTTGTGCAGCAGCTGCAGACGTGCCCCCCTCCCGCTGCCTCGTCCTCGCCATGCGCACTCAGCGTTTTCATGCTGAGAAGGAGCCGACCGGTGATGGACGGCCCTCCTGCCAGCTCTCCCCAGAGACGCCGCTTCCGTCCTGCCCCACCCGCCCCCATTTAATCAATAGCCGCAATGCTTCCTCCGGATGCCGAGGAGCCGAGGAGCCCGGGGAGGGGGCTGCAACCGGCGCGGCACGCGGCCGGAGCGCAAGAGGCGAGGGGCGTCCGGCGCTGGGGCGACTGGACTCCCTGCGGCTACGCAGCACCCCGCGCCCAGACCTGCGCGGGCCTTCTGCGGGTTGCCCCCTTTTCCTGCGCAGGCGATCCTGAGCTGCGTCTCCCGAGTCGGTTCTCTTCTCAGACCTTTGCCTGGTGTTTAGTTCTGAGCGCTCGCCACAGGCTCGAGGGCTGATGCAGAATTCCGTGGAAGTCAGAAGCTTGCACACGCCGCCTCATTCTGAGGTCGCTCTTACCAGGGTTGCTCCACTACAGTGGTGAGGAGGGAATGCACGCTGTGCATGCTCAGATACACTCCTTTCCTTCCTGCGCACTGGCCTAGAGCAGGCCCCCGACCTACTGCCACCCCTAGGCTGCTCCGAAAGGGCTCCGCGAGGCGGCCGAGCGCGGAGGGCAGCGCCCCATGCTCCTGCGCAGGAAGATGGGAGGCGCGGAAAGGGCACGGGCGGCCCTCCCTCAAGGCTGCTTCGCAGGCCAGGCCAGCGGCTCCCCGGCGCTGCAAACGCATCTGGCTGGACCCGGTCCCGGCAATCGGTGTCGAGGTGACAAGCGCCCCCGCCCCGGACTGGGCAGCCGCCCCCAGGCGGGACATGGGGAGCCGCCTGCCCTCCTGCCCTGAGCGGGAATGCTGGGGTGGGGCGTGCGGGAGGCGAGGGGGACTGCAGCCATCTCTGTGTGTGCTCAGAACCCAATTTAAGAGGGGCTTAATGTAGGAAGGACACCCCTCCCCGTCAGCCTCCAATTCCACCTCTGCGGCTGGTTCTGTGCCCCAGAACCTCCCAGGTGCCCTCTTCCAAAGGGAGTCTCATTCCCCCTCCTTGTCTCACCTGAAGGCGACTCAGATTGTCTCTAGAGGAGACCCTTCCAAACCCAGATGGGCATATATATTTTTTCCGCATTCAGGAAGCGTTCCGCATCGGGCACCCCTGGCTGGAGGCACGACCTCATGGGAAACCCTCCAGAGAAACCCTCCAGGCCCCAATCTCATGGGGCAGGGAGGCGAGCCGGAGTGACATCCACACAAGACAGCAGCAAGTCTCTGGCAAAAGTATTTAATATTATTATTGTTTTTAAAACAGAGGCCTGTGGGCATAAAACCAGCACCACGGGTGCCTTCAGTTAAGCAACAGCAGTCTTGGAATAATCCCTTGGAGTTAAGAGACAAGATGAACAGTTACGAAGGAAACACAGAAATGAGGTTTTCGTCTTCTTTTTTGTTTTTTCACACGGGTGACCGACATTAATGGCAAAACACACAAGACAACACTCACCCCAGAGGCGACTTTGCTTCCTCTGCTTGCTCCTGGCCCATCACCAAATTCGGCTTTTGCGGTTTCCTTCCTCGCCTCGCCTCGCCCCGTCCCTCCCCAACCCCGCCACGACACCTGCCCCAGGTAACTCGCCGTTCCTAGCGCCCCTCGCTCGGCCGGTCCAGGCGGAGCACGGCCAGTGTGGAAAGCCGTCAGAGCCACGTGGGGGTGCCCAGCCATCCGCGCCCACCCCCCCAAATGCGCGCCCGTCTTCACCCAGCTCTCTCCTCCCCCATGTCCCCCTCCCTCCCGAAACACACGCGATGGCTTCACCAGTCGATTCTTCACATTCACAAACAACGAAAGCAGAGGACAATCCCGAGTCGAGTCGTCAGTCAGAACCTCGCTCTGCGGCAGCCCCGCCAGGACCACTGCCCGCCGCCGCCGCCTTCCCTGGAGCCGTCAGTCCAAACTGCCGTGTGCCGCCGGCCCCTTTACCTGGAGGCCTCCTCTTTCAGCTCCTTGTTCTTCCGGACCTCCTCGGCATGTTTGTCCTGTGGGGGAAGAGGCCGGGGGCGTGGTGGGGGCTCTGCCTGAGGGTCCCACGGGGGTCTGGTGGGGAGGGTCGGCATCCGCGGCTAGTGGCCAGAGGGCTGGCCACGGCTCCCAGGGGCATGTTGGCTGTCGGCCCCCCGCCCTGCTTGGGGCATCCCGCTGGCCACCGCCCTGGCCTGATCCGGCCTGCGCGCGCTCCGCCTCTTCTCCTGGAGCGGCGCCTCCCAAAAGGGGCCTCGCCCTCCCGCCCAGGTCCCCCATTCCTCATCCTAATCAGCTTCCATGGCTCCCAGGCGTGACACCACGCAGCCGGGCCGGGCCTTGGGATGCTGCCGTCGCGAAGCAGCGCTCCCCTCCTTCCTCCCGCAGGCGTGGTGGCCCCCAGATCCCCCTGGGCTTCGCCGGCTGCCCCCTCCCCTCCCCTCCCGCCACACCTGGCTCCTCACCTTCTCCTGCAGGCGCTCCAGCATGGCGGCCAGGCGTGCCTCGCGGTTCTCCTTGTTGGACTCCATTTTCTGCATCAGCCGCTCCTTGGCCATCTTGATGAAATTGTTGTTCTCCTCGATGGCCTTCTGGATCACCTCCCGCTCGTGCTCCCGCTTTCCGGCCAGGTGCTTCAGGAGCTCTGCTTCCTGGTACTGGACACAAACACACACACCACGCAATGGGAACTCCGGGCAGGGATCGCTCCCTGGGGACGGAGGGCCAGCCCTGTGGTCCTACCCGGAACCCCGCGGTCTCGAATGCGTGGCGGAAGCACAGAGAAAGCCCCGCTCACCCAGCCCCACCCAGCCTTGCGTGCTGCCATCTTGGATTCCCCGGAGGGCCTCCAGTCCATACGGCTGTGACCGTTGGGCTGCATCTGCTGGAAGGACTCGTTCCTCCGTGCTGCCCTGCCCACGCACCAGGAGCGCCTCTGGAGGCGCAAGGGACAGTGTGTGGGGGGGGCTGCCTGCAGACCTCTGCGCCACTGGGTCCCTGCTAGGCTCCACTGGGTCCTCGCAGCTCGCTTTCTTGCCCCGGCCCGTGGCAGGCTCCAGGCCTTACTGGCGCCAGGTTCACGAAGCGCCATCTGGCTCTCGCTGCTGCTTGTGCTTTTGCAGGTGCGTCACGGTGATCTTCGGCCTCCCTCCCTCCCTCCGGCAGGCTGCCTCCCCTGCGCATCTCCACCACAACCCCACCGATCTTTTAAACAAGCAAGTCACTCTTTCCATGCAAGCTTTGCCGCGGTCCCAGATTAAAGGTAAACTGGCTCTGGTCATGCCAACTGCAGGCGAGCAGAGCTGCGGGGCGGGGGGGGCAGCCCAGGCCAGTGCGGCTGCCGATGGATGAACGGCTGGTCAATCATTCACAGGCGGCCCAGGAGCGCTCACTTCCTCCCAACGGCGGGGCCTCCTTGGCCCACCCTGCGCTCCCATATAGGCTGCCAAGCGCTTGGCTGGCCTCTGGAGAGTTGCCCGAAGCTTTGCCGGGTCCCGCTCCCCCCCACGTCAGAGAATCACCGCCTCCTTGGAGAGCCCACTGGCCCGTCGGGCGAGTGCTGCCGACGCAGGCCGGCAGAGGCTCCGCAAGACTGCCGGCCGGATCCTTCTTCGCTCTTCCTGGAAGTGCCCGGGCAGGCAGCGGGCAAAGCTGGCATTTGACCCCTGAGCTGCGGACCTGACCTGCTCCCGCCTGGCAGCCGTGCTGGCCCGAAACATCTGGGGGGCTCGCTGCCCACGGGTCTCATAGCAGTGCCCCCTGTTTGTCCATGGGGACGGAGAGACTGAGGGGGCCGGGCCCTTCCGTGGACCGGCGCCTGCCTAAAAAGACCCCACCAAATTGCTCAAGAAAGTCCCTTTCAGCAGGAGCGGGACACGCTTGCTCGGAAGCAGGTCCCTGCGAGCTCCGTGGGGCAGATGTTTCCCCCGTCTAGCACACGTTTGCAGCATTACAGCCGTGGGCACCTGCTGAGCTCCGCCTAGAGCGGATTGGGCCCTGTGGGGAACAGGCTCATGGATCCACCTGTTGTTTGTTGTCGTGGGAACAAAAAGACCAGCCGGTCACACGTGGACCTGCACTAGACTGAAGCGTGCAAGTTTCCGCGGTGGAGCGCTGTGTAAGTCTTTCTGCACTGTGCGAGCACGTGTGCGTCAGTCCTGGTGGCTTCCCGGTTCCCTGAATGGGGAGCATTTCTTGGCTCTGTGGCAGCGAATAGCTGGGAAGTGCATTCTTTTGTACTAAGAATGGACCGACAGGCCTCCAGCCGGGAATGTGGCAGGCCCCCTCCCTGCAAGATGCAGCCGGGGAAAAACCCCGGAAAGGCCCGCTTTCTCGAAGGAGCACTTTGGCAGGACACTGAGCTGATGCTTCTCCATGTGGCCACAGCCTCCGGGTTTGTGCTCCAACGCGTGGTCTGAAGCACCAGTTCAGATCCCCAGAGAGCACAGGCGTTGGCCTGACTGAATTCCAGCTTCGAGCGCCGCTCACCAGGCGAAGTGCTGGGAGGAGGAGCGGAGCCCCGCGCAGCTGCGGAAGCGCCCAGAGCTGCTCTCCACCTGCCCTTCCTCTGCCGTGCACAAGCGGAAGAGGGTTGCCGTCCGATCCACTTGGGTGGCCGGGGTTGCAGCTCGCAGCTCGCGGGCCAGGCTTGCGCGCAGAAGGCCCAGCCGCTCCCGGAAGAGGCAGGAGGGACTCCGCGTGGGGTCTTGCCGAGCCGTGGCGCCTCGGCCTTTTGGCCCAGCTGACCCAGGCGGTGCAAGGGCCCAGCCCCCTGGGCTTACCTTCAAGCGCCTGCCATGCTTACCCCCCGGGCACTGAGCCGGTCTCACCTTGCGCCGTTCCTCGGCAGCTTCCAGCTTCTTCTGGATCTCCTCCAGGGAGGGGTCGCGTCGCCGGGGCAGGGAGGCGCTGAATTCGGGGATCCCGTCAAAGGAGGGGGGCTTCAGGATAACTTCGAAGGACTGGCCCGAGGTGCGCTTGTTGAGCTCGATGACCTCCATGTCCGAAATGACGCACCAGGTCAGGTCTACTGCATCTACTGGAGGGAGGGGGGAGATGCTGAGGGGCACTCATGCTCAGAAGCGGCTGAAGTGGGGGCGGGAGAGCCTTCCGGTCCCCACCGGAAAGGAGAGCGTGAGAAAAGCCCTGGCGGAGCATTCTGCCCCGCACCCTGTTTGCGCGCTGGCCAGCAAGCTGCCGGGTGCAAACCCAAATGCAGACCTGGCGCAACGCCCCCCCCCCCCCCCCTCCCCCCCCACCCGGGGGCCCCCCTCCGTCCGGCTCCAGAGCAGCACAGAGCCACCAGGACGAGGACCCCTCGCTGCCTGCGCTTCTTCCTCCAATCCGCTCCCGAGGCACCCGAAGCGATGGCCACCACTCCATCCTGGGGAAGCCAGTTCCACCGTCTCTCCAGGCACCGGGTGCAGGAGGCCCACCTCGGATATGCCCTGCCTCTCCCGCCCGTCAGCCCCGGGAGGCCCCCGCTGAGCTCTAGTACAACTCAGGAGAACCAGACCGTGTTGCCGAACATTCCCCAGGCAATACATCCCAGGGCCCAGGCTGGGCCTGCTGCCAACCAGGCGGAAACATGTCTCCCCATCCAGCATCCTCCCTGCATTGCTGAAGAGGCCCCCGCAGACTCAGAGGAGCATGCAAACGTTTCCTGGCCTCAGGCGCTTCAAATACATGTGTTCAGAATAAAACCAGTGATATCTCCAGTTCAGGACTGGGGCAGCCTGCTCCCCCGGCTCCAAGCGGCAGGGAAGGACATCAACGGTCCTTTTCGCTCCTGGACCCCCCAAGGAAAGCAGGCACGCTGCTTGGAGAGCACGTGGCCCGTGAGGCAGAAATGGCGGCGAGGGGCGAAGAGGCGGCAGAGGGCCTTCTGGGGTGGACGCCTGAAGCACGAAGGGACGTGCGGCAGGCGTACAGCCTTGTAGAAGCGACCGTATGGACCGGGCTGCGTTCTTACACCGACTGAAACCCAGGGCTGGCCGTGGGAAACTGCCCAGCCCGGCCTTGGCGGCAGAGCGCAGGGTGGAAGGGCGAGGGGCCACGCCGGCAACGCGAGTGCGTTCCCTCAAAGGGGGGGGGTGCAACACGCTGCAGGACCAGAATGCCAGAAAGGAAGCCGGGGTGGCCCCCCTTTGCCGCGTGTGGGAGCCCCTGCGCTGTGCTGGCTAGCGTGCGACCATGCATAATTCATAGCACGTCAACTAGATTTATACCGTATTATCATATATAATGAACTACGTGGAAGCCCATCCAGAGCCCTCGGGGAAGGGAGGAATCGCGCGCGCTCTCTTTGTGAAGGTGCTCACGGACAGGAGCTCGGCCGGCGGCGGCAGCCCCAAGCCCACAAGCCCGAGACTGAATGGACTCCTACCTTCGTATTTATAGGATGGCTTGTTTAGGGGGTCGGAGAGGAAGCAAGAGCAGAAGAGGGACACCAGGGGCAGCTCCTTCATTTTTTCTTTGTACGCTGTAAGCAGACAAAAGGGAAAGTTAAAACGCCGTCAGCAATGGATCCTTCCGCCCGTCTCAGGCGGCACCCACACAGGCCCCTCCTCACGCGGAGAGCGCATGCTAAGCATCCGGCTGGATCGAGCCGCCTAGCCTAAATTTCCCCCAATGGCGCCGGATGCCTCCCAGAAGCCCACAGGCAGAAGGTATGAAGGGAACTGTCCTCCCAGGCTGCTCCCGCCCCGAGCCACTGGTTTTCAACGGCACGCTGCTCCCGGAGCTTCCCTCTGGGGAGCCTTCGCATGTTCCCTGCCCTCGCCTGCCACTCTTGAATCTGGGGGGACCGGGGCTCTGGGGGCAAGCGGCTGGATCTGGGGATGCGCAGAGCACAGCCTCATCTCGGATGAGCGCCCGTTGGCACAGCTCAAGCTGCTTGGCCAGGTCTGTGCGGCCACCTGTGTCGTGGATCCTTGCCCGTCCTGTCCGGGCCAGGGAGGCGAGGACTGCCTCCTGCAAGGGGGAGGGTCCCATCCTGCCTCAGAGAGGTGGCGCTGAGGCCACGTTTGCAAGAGCCCTCCCTTGGCCCGGAAGATGCGCATGACTTCAGGCTGGTGGCCAACGTTCATTTCCTGGACCGGGTCCTCGAGGGGCTGGTCGCCGATGAACTCCGGGCGCTCTTGGGTGAGACGGACGGGCTGGACCTGCTTGCGTCTGGGCCAGGCCTGGTGTCGGCAGGGAAGCAGCGCTGGACACCCGCGGGACGACCCGTGCCGGGGGCGAGGCGGGGCAGCGAGGGCTTGCCGACGCTGCCGCACCTCTCCGCACCTCTCGGTGCCGCCAACCGGTGGCCGGCCGAGGGGGGAGGGGGCCGGCGTCGCAGCGGCTCCAGTCCTACGTGGCGGCTCAGCTCCAGAAGGCGGTGCTTGGGGGATGCTGCTCCGCCCCGTGGGGTCTCCAGCATGGAGTCCCTCTGGGGTCGGCTCTGTCCCCCACGCTATTCGCCATGTACGTGGCACCGCTGAGGGGGCTCATCCGGAGGCTCGGAGCACAGGTGCTGGTGACACCCAGCCCTGCCTCACCGTGGCCGTCGGCAGGCGAGGCTGTGGATGTGCCAAACCGGTGGCCGGCAGCAGCAACGGACTGGGTGGGGCTGGCAAACCGATGCTCCGTCCAGACTCGACCGAGACGCTGCTGCTTGGTGGTTCTCCTGACCAGGAGGAGGGAATGCGACCTGGTGTGGAGGGGGCCACCCCCCCTGAAGGAGCAGGTTCAGGGCCCCCTGCCAGCAGAGCTCAGGAGGAGCCAGAGGCTGGTGGCCCAGCTGCATGTCTACCTGCACAGGGACGGCCTGGCTTTAATCGATGCTCTGGCGATCTCTAGATGAGATTGCTGCAATACACTCTACCTGGGGCTACCCCAGGAGATGGTTCAGAAGTGGCAGCTGCTGCAGAATGCGGCACCCGGATTAATTACCGGCAATTACGAGTTCAGACGTGTCAGAACAGTTCTAGCCCGCTGCACCGGCTGCCTGCATGCTTCTGCTCTCAATTCAAGGTGCTGGTTTTGACCTATGAAGCTTGACATGGCTTAGGACCACAATAGCCCAAGCCTAAGCCTCTCTCTTCCTCCGAGTGCCAACTCTGAGGGCAACACAGAGGGTGGCAACCAGCGGGAGAGATTTCCCAGTGGCAGCCCCCCAAATGCTGAATAACCTTCCTACTGCAGCCCACCCGGTGCTGAACCGGCCATCAAGCTGGCCCTCGTTTCTGAGGCTTTCCAGGATTTCCTCTGCCCCTCCGGGGCTTGAAGGGGTCCCTGAGTGTTTACAGAGTCACTCTTATTTACGCCCCTTTGCACGGTTTGTTTGTATCATCCGTTTTCCCCAGGAAGGAAGGGAGGAAGGGAGGGACACGGGCCCGCGGGGTGGGGGCCAGCTCCGGAAAAGAGGCCGGGAGTGTGGCAGCTATGGGCAACTTCGCGCACAGCCGCTGAAGGACTTTGCCCTCCCGCACATCCCATCCTCACGCAAGCGCTGCAGTCGTCGTCCCCCCATGAAATTGGCAACGGATTCAGGAGAGGTGAAAGGGAGGCCTGCTTCCTTACTGAGCCCGCCCTGGACTAGTTTTGCTGTTTAGACTTTTGTAGCATTTTTCAATCTAGGTGTTGGCCAATTTGGTTTTAAATTTTTAGCCAGGATGAATCCATACTTAATATATATTTATCTGTATGATTGTTTGTTTATGATGTTGGAAGCCGTCCCGAGGCTTCTGCGAATGGGACGGCATGCAAAAATTCCAAATAAATGAATGAATAAATAAATTTTGATAGTCCAGTCATTATATTTTTACCATTTGGATACTTTTGTAGGCTTTAATTGTATGAATTGTATTGCCGGGAGCCACCTGGAGTCCCACTCGCTGGGAATTAGGGGGATGTAACTATAAATACAGCAACAGCACACAACGCACAATTTATGTATGGGATTCCCAGCCATCAGCACTGCCTTAAGTGGCTTTAAAAAGGATTAGAAAATGTATGGAAAAATAAGTCTATTAATGGCTATTAGTAATTAATGACCAGTGGGACCTACAACAAATGCTTGCAGTGTGGAGTATCTCCAGTTCTGGGCTCCAGCCAGTCAGGCATGGCCCACCTCATGGCACTCCATTCCGGTTCCCGCCACCCCCAGATTTCTGTCTCTGCACATGCACGGTGTCCAGCAGTATTTTGAACCTTCTAAGGTGGTCTAAGGATAGTTAAAATGGAATTAAAAATTAGTCTCCATTCAGCTCGAGAAGGGAGAGTTGCTCCTAAAGAGAGGTTCCTCTTCTACAAAGATGGGTAGAAGGTTTCTCTTCTACAAAGATGCAGCTGGTCACTTCCTCTTGAACCCAGATGGTGCCATTTTAGCTAAGGCAGGCCTGGCATTTGCAGAGTGAGGTCAACCGTTTGCTATTCTAGCAGGAGAGCCAAACCTCTGTCAGCACAGGAGCTAAATTCAATTTCAGGAAAGTCTCAGGGGCCAAAGACCAAGCTTGCTGGGACCAAATCGCGAAACCTTCCAGCGTGTTTTAGCTCACAGCTCTTACTGCCCAGAACGGAGCCTCAGGAGTGGTTTTTAAGCCTTTTAGGAAAGGGAAAACATGCAAAAACCGGGACGCCACCAAGGGGGGGCAGTTCAAGAGAAGGGGCGAGGATACTGACTTCTATCGAACTTGGGATTTTTTCTATAATTGGCTGGAGAAACGGGCGTAAACTTAGAGATGTTTTCAAATTATTATAAATTGATCTGAATTTGACTTTAGAATGTTAAAAAGTATGTAGTAGGAGGTTGACCCAGTAAATATGTGATGTTTGATGTTTTTAGTGTTAGTTTAAAATTTTAATAAAAAATTTATTTAAAAAGAGAGAGAGAGAAGGGGCGTGCCCTTCTGGAAATCCTTGCCGGCCAGAGTGGGGCGCCAAGCCAGCCGACGGCTCTGCACCCCCGCCGTGCAGAAGTGGCTTGGAACCTCTGTGTCTGGAGGCTGCGGGGTGGGGGTCTCTGGCCTTCATGCCCTGCTTTTCGGCTTCCTGACGTGGGCTGATGCTGGCCGGCCTCAGTGGCCTTGGGTCGGATCCAGCAAAAGCTCTTCTTAAGGGCTGCTTTGCGGCGGAGCAGCAACCGGGGCGGGATCTCTCTACCTGCCAGCGTCATGGTGCCTGCTGTTCCAAGCCTCCTGCTGCTCGGCGGGCGTCCCAGCGGGCGACGGTCGGGTCCGGCGGACGGAGGGCCCTGGCGCAAACTGCAGAGACAAACAAGCAGGCATGCATGCCGGTGAAGCTGGTTCCCGCTTCCAGGGAAAGGGGGCAAATGCAGTCCCCAGCACTGCAGCCCATGTGCCACCAGAACTCGCCCTGAGGAACAAAGGAGGCCACCCCCGGCCTCCCACTGCACCGGACGTGGCTAGTGAGAGCCGTTCACTCTGCCAGCTCAGATTCTGTGCCATGAAAAAGTAGTTC